ACCCCCCGGGAACATGCCGGCGAGCTACCGGTATCGCGGCCAAAGCATAATAGCGAAGCTAAAAAATAAGGTAAAGCTTAAATTGTACGAAAGCGTTTGGAGCGCGGAAGATTTAAAAGATTAACCCCGGGTGCCCAAAAGGGCACGAAAAAAGGGAAGGTTAAAAAAAAACAATTTTTGTTGGCGATAGCACTTTTGGTAAAAGATTTACGAAGGCTTAACAAAGGAAATACCGCATCCGGCCCGTAACCCGGTAATTACCCGCCTTTGCACCGATTAACCTTTAACATATTGTTTTTTTTTTATACCTTTTTTATTTGGGGAGCAGGCCTAAGTAGTTACCGAAAAGGATCGAGCAAATTTAAAAAGGGCATTTGCGATTTCGCACCGCTTATAATAACGCCCAACGCTACGTCGAGCACGTTGGAAAAAGCCGTTGGGCTACTGGAACAAAATACCAAAAAAGCCCCGCAAATTCCTAACGATTTCGAAAACCTTTTTGTAAAAGAATTGCAAAAAATAAACGACGCGCTGGAAGCTTAAAGCAAGCGCGCCCGTTTAATTTAAAAGATTTAAAACAAAGGGTTAAAATATGCGCATAAAGGTTTAAACGAAAATAAAAAAAATACCTTTAAGCAACGAAAGGGTTTTACGTAAAGCAAAGTTACTTTTAAGCCTTTTATGCTTAAAAAATTGGCAATTTAGCAAAACATTGCTTATTATATTAACGATTACAAATTTATTTTCGAAAACGAAAAAGGACGTTACGGTAAGGACCGTATAAAAATCCAAATAGCTTTTAGCACTTTCGACCATTGTCGGCGGGCATAATGGACAAAATATAAGCAAATGCACCACCCAAATACCGGGGTATCGTTTATTTAGGCCGATTTTTTGCGGTAGCTTTAAATAAAGTCGAAAAACCCCAATTCGCAAATGTAACTAGCAATTAAAAAGCTTGCGGGGGATACCGTTATTAAGCAAAAAAATTACAAATTGTTCGAAGCGTTCCGGATTCGTTAGGATTTGGTAAAAAACGACCTTTTTAAATTAGCACCCGAATGGATAAGGACGATATTGCTTTTTAACCGGTTCCGCCCCAAAATCCAAAAACGGGTAACATTTAAAAGCCTTTTTTACATTATGGAAAAATTGTAAGCCAAAGCCTTTAAAACAAAAATAATATCGGAATTGTATAAAGGGACCCTGGGGGATACAAATGTTTTAGCCTTTAAAAAGCCGGTTACTTGTTTTAAGTACGGGCAGTTAAGCCATATTGCTGCAGCATGCAAAATACGGACGAATAATCCGAAAACCCCGTTAGCCCCAGCAATTACACAAAAGGCAAAAAGGAAAAGGCCCGAAATACGGTGTTACGGGTATAAAAAGCTAGGCCATATCCGGCCGGCGTACTTTAAAAAAAGCAAAATATCGCTACCCAATTCGATACCGCTGTTTGGCCGTTTAAGCACCGGGGCTTAAAAGTGCGCCCCGGCGGCCAGGACGCGCTGGAAAACCGAAATGTATTTACGGATTAACGGTCGCCGGGTAAAATTAAAAGCGTTGGTTAACAATAAGAACGACGTTAATTTATTGCATAGCCGTTTTTTGGTAAAAGCAAAAAAAATACCGGTGCTAAACGGGGGCTACTTAGCGTAATTCGATACTAAAAAACGCATGCTTACGCTAAAGGTAAAAAAATACAAAATTCGGGTAACGGATAGTTAGGGAATAACCCGAAAGTTAATAATGTTTTACGTGGTAATGCCCCGGGCCGGGTACAACATTACGTTAAGCATGTTTTAATTCCAGCAAAAGGATATTAAAATCCGGTTTAGGAATATAAAGTAAAGGTTTTCGGTAATTACCAAAAAAGTTAAAATAATTTCGTTGGAAATAGCTAAAAAGCTAATCCAATCGGGACAAACGATAGCCGTACTAACAATTGTACGCCCGGAAACCCCGAAAGACCCCGGGGAAGGGCTAAAAGCTTTTCCGGAATAGGTTAAAAGGATAATTGCAAAATATGCGTAGTTTTATAAATCGGACCCTTTGCTAAAATATATAAGCTAGAATTACGCAATCGAATTGGAAAAAAGAACGATGCCGCTTTACGGAAACATTTATCCTTTATCCGAAAAGGAATTAAAAACCTTCCGGGGGTACTTCGACGAGGTTATAGCGAAGGGTTAAATCCGGCATTTAATTAGCCCTGCCGGCGCCGGGATCCTGTTCGTTTTAAAAAAGGACGGGAAGTTTCGCCTTTGTATCGATTATCGGGGTTTTAATAAGGTTATTAGGAAAAACCGGCTGGCATTTTCGTTAATTTACAAAATATTCGACCGGGTGTTTAAAAGCCAATATTTTACCAAATTGGATTTAAAGAACGTTTATTACAGGATACGGATCCGATAAGGAAACGAGTGGAAAATTGCTTTCCGTTGCAAGTATGGACATTACGAGTATTTGGTAATGCTTTTCGGTTTGGCCAATGCTTTAGCAACGTTTTAAAGCTTTATTAATATAGCGTTTAAAAAGTTAATTAATAGCAATTGCATTGTGTATTTAAACGATATCCTTATTTTTTCGAAAATATAGGAAAAGCACCGCGAGGCAGTAAAAACGGTGCTAAAGCGATTCGAACGGTTTAAATTTTACGTTAGCCCGGCCAAATGCGAATTCGAAACGGATAATATCGATTTTTTAAGGTTTAAAATAACCAGATTCGGGGTCGAAATCCTGCCGGACAAAGTTATTACGATTTTAAAGTAAAGGATACCGGAAAGCGTTAAAAACATCCAAATGTTTTTAAACTTTACGGGGTATTATCGGAAATTCGTAAAGGGTTATACGAAGATTACTATGCTTTTAACGGACCTTTTTAGCAAAAATACCGTATTTTACCTGGGAAATGTTGCGAAAAAAGCTTTTTGCAAATTAAAGTTGCTATTTACGAAAGCTTTGGTATTAGTGCATTTCGACCTTTTAAAGCCGTTGTGCGTGCGGACCAACGCTTTGGCTTTTGCGATAAAAGCGGTGCTGCTGCAACTATAGGACGGCCGGTAGCACCCGGTAACTTACATATCGAAAAAGTTGCAATAAAGAAAATTGCGTTATGCAATTTTTAATTTAAAATTGCTAGCGATCGTAAAAGCTTTCGAAAAATAGCGGTATTACTTGGTTTATTTACAAAAAATTATTAAAGTAATTACCGACCATTTAAATTATACCCATATTTTAACAAAGGAAAAAGTAATAAAGCGTTAAGCAAAATGGCTTAAAAATTTAGCAAAGTACAATTTTACGATTAAATGGAAGCTAGGATACCGAAACCCCGCGGATAATTTGTTAAAACGTTTTTAGGATATACCCGTAAACGGGGAGGCCAATAAAGCAAAGGAGGAATTCCAAAGCGATTTGCTAGCCAAATTTCGAAAAGCAGCTTACGTAAGGACAATTACTATTAAAAAGGATATTAAAACGATATTAAAGCGCATTTTTAAAGCATAAATAAAGGACGATTTCGTTTAAAGCGGTACTTGGAAAAGCAAGCTTAACGTTTGGGGGATTAGCGATAATTTGTTTAAGCACAAAAGGAAAGTTTGGGTCCCGAATTTAGCGCCGCTGCAACGGGCAATGCTTTAGGAACAATACGATAACTTAACGGGGGGTTACAAAAGTATAGCCAAAATTTTAAAAAAGTTTAAACGGCAATTTAAATGGCCGGGTATGGTTAAGGACGTACGCAAATACGTGCGGACGTATTAAATATACCAACAAACAAAGCCGAAAATACAAGCACTTTACGAGCTGCTAGCATTTTTGCCCGTGCCAAACCGCCCGGGACAAAAGCTATCGATGGATTTTATCGAAAAGCTTTTAACGTTAATGGATGGAGCCGGCAAAAAGCGCAACGCAATATTGGTAATGGTTAACCGGTTTACCAAATACAACTTTTTTATTTTAACGTTTATAAAATTAACCAGTAAAGGATTAAGGAGCTTTTTGTTTGCACACGTTTAAAGGCTGCTAAAAACGCCCAAAAAAATTGTATCGAACCGGGACAAATTGTTTACAAGCGGGTTTTAAACAACCTTTGCCGAATATTTAAAAATTGCAAAAAAGCTATCGATAGCATACCACCCTTAAACCGACGGGCAAACGGAACGAACGAACCAGGCAGTAAAGCATTACCTTTGGTGCTTTTGCTGCGAAAAGCAAAACGATTGGGCGTTGTTGTTGCACCTGGCAGCGTAAGTGCACAATACGAGCGTGCATTTAGGGTTGCAAAAAACCCCGGCGTTTTTGTTAATAGGGTTTTACCCACGAAGGCTTTATAACTTTCGGGTGGTTAAAAAAAAACCTTTGGCAGCGGTTAAAGTTAGGGCGAAAGCCTTGGAAGCAATTAAAAAGCAAGCTAAAAAATTGCTAAAAAAAGCGAATAATATGTACAAAAAGTACTATAATAAAGGCAGGACCCCGGTGCTTTTCGGGGTAAGCGATTGGGTATTGCTAAGTACGGCAAACATTAAAATAAAAAGGCCGTTAAAAAAGCTATCGAACAAATGGTTAAAACTTTTCCAAATTTTAAAAATGGTTGGGTTAACCGGTTTAGCGTTCCGGTTAAAACTCCCGGTAAATTACCAAATATATAACGTATTTCCGGCAAATTTGTTGCGGGCGTTTAAAAAAAGGCCCGGCGAAAAACCAAAAAATAAAAACCAAAAATCGAAAGAAAAAAAA